TCCTCCTCCTCTTGTTCTTGCTCCTCTTCTTCTTCTGGCTCCACATCTATGCTTACAAGCCTGCCCTCCTCATCTCGGCCCCATGCGCGTTGCAGAGGCTTGCGTTTCGCACCCTTCCCACCCGCCGCTGTCTTCTTACCCGGTTTCGCACCTGCACCCTTACGTCCTGGCGGAGGCTTCCTCTGCCCCTTCCTCCCACCACGAGCGCCAGTGTTGCCCCTGCCAGAAGGTCCTGCTGACCTCTGTCCCTTCTTAGCAGCTTCCGCTCCCTTGTCAGCTCTCTTACGATGCTTCTCACACTCATCGAGTTTCTTCTGCAGGTCAGCAGCTTCGTCAGCCTTCTTGCGGCCAAGCACCTTCAACTTCTTGATTTGCTCCCTTAAAGCTCGGATGTCTCCAGATGATGATGAGTCGGCGTCAGCTGTCAACCTCTCATTCTCGTTCGCAAGATCTCGATAATCGTCCTGCAGTGCCTCGAGCTGCTCCTCGCACTCTCGCAAAGCTGCTTCGGCGCGACGACAGCGACCTTCGCAGCCCTCATCGTCATCATCGTCACCAGTGGGGCCTTTAGCATTCCTCAAAGCAGCTTCAAGTTTAGCAACCTTGGCTCTCTCAGCATTGAAGCTGTCGCGCCATCGTCCAATCTGCTCCTCGAGCTTCTCGGCCCTTTCGTATTCTCTCTGCGCGGCATCAGCATCCCTCGAAGGCTTCTGCTGCTCCTGAGCCAGCTTCTCATGTGCTCGATCCATTTCTCTCCGACACTTTGCGGCCTCCTCCTTAAGTTTCTGGACCTTCTTCTCCAAATTCTCGCACTTCTTCTTGCAGACATCGGATCCTGTTTGAGGCTGGCCACGAACATCCCTAGAAGCCTCAACTTCATCTCTTAAGTGTTCTACTTGTCGCTCCAGCTCTCGCTCGCGCTCGCTCGCGCTAGTTTCGGCGGTCTCTGCGTCGACTTGAGACTGACTTAAATCTCTCTGCAACGTATTTCCGTGTGCTCGACATTCATCAAGCTGTCTCTGCAGATCTGCTCCGTGCTTCCGACAGTCATCGAGCTTCTGATTCAGGTCTCGGAAAAGGTCTTCGACTTTCTTCGCAGGATCATCATTACTGTCTTCTCCTTCTCCTCCAGCAGCAGAAGGAGATCGACGAGGTTGTGCTGGCGGTGATCTGGAATTTTGCAACGGCGATCTCGGATCATTTGGTCGTTGTGCATTGTTCCCGCGCTCGTTCACTTCAGCAATTTCGTCCATCAAGTCCTCAATCTGTTGATCTCTCTCTGCAATCTGTTGATCTCTCTCTGTCAGCTGGTTGTCAAGATCAGTCAAGTACCTCTCGGTTCGCTCCAGAGCTGCTGTCCGATTGTCGACCCCGACTCGCTGGGCCTCAGCATCCTGCCGGAAAGTCTCCGCAGCGTACGCTTGACGCTCCAGATCTACAGTCAGATTGTCGGCCCGGGCTCGCTGGGCCTCAGCATCCTGCCGGAAATGCTCCGCAGCGTGCCATTCACGCTCCAAGTTCTGCGTTTGATTCTGTTCAGCTAGCACCGCATTGTCCCTTTGCTGCAGAGCATGGTCCCGCTCCTGCGTCAGTTCCTGAATGCGATTTGCTGCCCGAGCGTTCTCGTCTTGAAGGGCCGGAAGCTGCACGTCCAGATCATTAATTCGCGCCTCCTGCTCCTGGATACGCTGCCTTAGAGCACGATTGTCTGCTTGCAATGTAATCATCTCTTCTTCATTGGCTTCATGCAGCAATTGTGCTACAGGCGGGATATAGTCCCACGCTCGATTGCCATTGGGACCGACTGGCAGCCCGTCCTGTTGAGGCTGCCGTTGTACACCAACAGGAGTCGGAGTGCCCAGAACCTGAGGGGCACCATCCCGCCTGAGCCACCAGTTAGGATTCTGCTGGTTACCGCCATTCTGCTGATTACCGCCATTGACTTCAAATGGATTTGGTAGATTGGCACCATTATCGACATTTAACTCATCGCTGTCGGTACGTACCAGTGCTGGAACTTGTCGCGGACCAGCTCTACGCCCTGGGCCAGCTCTACGCCGTGGTCCAGCTCTACTCCCGGGGTTCGGAGGTGTGACAGGCGGTTGCTGGTTCCCGAAGTTGTTCTGGTTCGCTGTAGGGCGATTCCCATCGGCTACCAAATCACCTCTAGGACGGTTTGTTGAGATCGGAAGGCCATGTGCATCCCCTGAACGAGTAGGAGACCCCGGATATGGCTGGTTAGTATCATCACCAACAGGCTGCAACACACCAGTAGGACCCCATTGATGCGTCAATCCCATATTCGGAACCCCAGGCAACGCAGGTGGAGCGTACCATTGACGTCGGTGCTCAGCATCATAGTAGTAGTATGTATTAGGCCGGAAAGCATGTTGCGTGTATGACCAGCCTTCTGGAAGATACATGCGATTGACGCGGTTGAGAGGATGCCAGGCTTCTTCTTCGTTTGGGATGGGATATGGCAAACCATCTCTCCACAGATCATAATACAAGTTTTGATCGACAATTCCTCCTTCAGTGACTGCGGGAGATGGAAGTGGGCCGATGTCGCGATTCGTACTGGTTCTTCGGAAGACGTAGCCATCGCCATTACGTTCCGCAAAGGCGCCTGAGGGAATACGACGCCGCCGCAATCTGATACGGGCTTGTCCAGAATTTGGGATGGGTATCTCGTCGTTTTCGCTCTGGTAGCTTGCAAGGCTGTCCTCCCGTTCGTTGTTTTGGTTTCCTTGAGCATCATCAGCGGTAGCGTTAGCATTCTCATCGTGATCTCCATCGCTGCCCATGTCGTCGTCTCCAGAGCGGTCGTTGTCATGTTCGTCTGGAGCCTCATCATCTCCTTCCTGGTCGTCATAGTAGTCAGCCTCAGGAAGCGACTCTATGTCGGAGGGAGTGCCATCGTCGAAGAGGTCATGAATTCTTCTTGTGTTCGGAGACATACCGTCCGTCGACAAGGGGACACTGGGCGAACTACTCGAACGACCGCCCCCTCCACCGCCATTTTCCGAAGGGGTGATGAAGCGAGCACGTCTCGGAATGAACCTTGGCCGACGTCCGGCAGCAAGAAGAGGAGGAGGAGGAGGCTCATCGTCTTCATCTTCGTCTTCCTCATCGTCAGTTTCGTCTTCTGCATCGTCAGTCCCTTCTTCCTCTTCTTCCTCGCCATCGGTCTCCTCGTCTTCCTCGTCCCCGTCGGCTTGCTCGTCCTCGACCCCGTGCAGCTCCTCGTACTGCCTTGCTCGGTTCTCATACCAGTCGATATCAGGAAGAGGTTCTGTCCCAGCCCAAGGATCGTTACTAAGGATAGCATCTAGCCGTTGTTCGCGTGGTGTCGTACCATGACTCGATGATGATGCAACACTGGGAGTCCCCCTCAAAATATCAGATAAAGCCTGGCTGGAAGCGCGCCTCCTACCGGCCGGAGGAGTCCTGGGAGCATAAGGAGGTGGCCGCGGGGGCGCCCCGAACAACGAGGCGTTAGGGCCGAATCGTCGTCCGCCTGGTGTGAGTGGCAGACTCGCTCTTCGTTGCGGCCTGTTGCCTCGCGTTCGCGTGTCGCGATCATCAGAAATGCGTCGCCGGTCCTCATGGATCTCATTGAAATACTGCGGTCGATAGCGTGTGTTGTCCCTCTCGCGAGCTCTTGCTATACGTGCTCGTCGCTCAGGTGAATCAGGCTCTCCCTCAGCATAAGGTTGCCAGAAAACATCTCTAGTCGTGTTTTCGCCATACGCAGGCGGCGGCGTTGGTGGACGTTGTTCTAATTCCCGCAGCTGTTGAGCCAGGACGACTCTTTCGGGATTATTTGTGCCGCCCCGTGGCTCACCTGTGGGATTCTGGTACCCGTCGGCACCATTGATGGGATGAAGAAGACCATCTGCGCCATAGAAGTGAGTCTTCTGAAACCTAGGGTAGCCAGGAACGCGAGCAGGAGCCCGCCAGAATCGATTGCCTATCGGGTCCTCGTAATATATGTAATCGCCTGGACCGTCCTGGTAAGGAGTCCAGTCCTCGGGTAGCCACTGTGGTTGGTCTCCATCCGGTACGTGACGAACACCTTGTGCAACTCGAGTAATAATTCCGTTGTCGATACGGTATGTAGCTCGGTCATCGATAGCCCAATTGAAGTGATTTGTTGGCGAGAGTGGAGCAGCGGCGGCTCGAGCTTCTCTGATGCTGGCACCGGCGCCTGCTCTGGAGCTCAAAAACGACTGACGATAAGGCGGAGGAGTTCGAGGGGAACGAGAAGGACCATGTGGCCTGCTTTCCTCGCCTGCGTCGTCTTGCTCGCTATTAACGTTGTCCTCAGCATCATCGTCTTGCTCCTCATCAGCGCCACTCCCACCACCACCATCGCCCGCAGGCATAGTGAACCGGGCACGTCTTCCATCTGATCCCGGCGGCCGTCGACCTGGAGGAGGAGGCGGCGGCGGCATTCGACCCGCAGCAGCATCCCTTCTGAAGTCATCCCAACTGACCACTTCTCCATCACTACTAAGAGGAGAATCAGGCCGTTCAGGGCGCGTTTGCGTACTCGGAAGAGGCGGTAAATGACCAAGAGCGGCACCTCTATCCTCGTCTCGATTTGGAAATCCACGGAATGGACCTGGGACAGGAGGAGAATCGTTGCGACCCAGTCGAGGTGCACTTCTCGATAGTGGTGGCAATTGACCAAGAGCTACAGCTCTATCATAATCCTCTCGAAATGTAACGTGTCGAGATGGACCTTGAACAGGAGGCAAGTCGTTACGGTCCAGTCGAGGTTGACTTCTCGAAAGCGGCGGCAACTGCTCCAAAGCCGCAGCTCTGTCGAATCTATCCCCCGAAGAGATACGTCGACGTTGGCGAGGAGGCTCCTCATCCTCAGTCTCATCCTCATCGAGTTCGTCGGGATTGTCTGGAAAGAGCCAAGCGAGGGACTGTGGATCCTGAGGTACAGACGGCGTTGGAGTCGGCGGAGGTCCCTCTCTTGTAGGCGGAGGTGCAGCAGGCAAGTCGTCATCGGATTCCTCTTCGTCCTCTGATTCCCCTTCTTCGTCCTGTGGTTCCTCTTGATTCTCATCCTGGCCCTGTGCCTCTTCTTCGTCTTCGTCTTGAACTGCGTTTGGATCCTGCCAATAAGGACCTCCCTCCGCCCAAGGGCTACCTGGCATATGTCCTCCTCGTCTAGGCCCAGTCATATAACGATAGCCCAACGAAGGGTCAGAGTTCGCAAACGCAACAGCGTCTCTCGGACCCAGGTCGAAGTGCGGGTCAGCGGCAACTTCTGGGATAGTCAGAGCCAGATTCAAATCATCATCCTCGTCTTCTTTGTCTAGCTGTTCTTCCTGGTAAGGTTCCAACCTGGCACGAGGTTTGCGGCGGACTGGAGAGGGAACAGCATTTCCTTGGGCGAAGAAATACGCATATTCTGGGTGCGTCTGGCTAGCCAGCCATTGCGCCTGCTGCTCTTGCTCGAGGCGAGCCCAGCTTCTTGGACCGCGTGGAGAGTACCCAGTGAAGTCCCTGACGAATTGATTGCTGCGTTCTGGAGGTTGATTCCGAGGCTCATCGTGGTGACTGACTCCATCATAACGGTGCGGCTCACTCGCTTCATCGAAATGTACTCTGGGTGTCTCTTCTCCATCGGCCAAGTAGCCTGAGGCGACGGTCGGCCGTCTGCCAGGCTGCCAGGCCGGGCTGAGCTCCTTGAAGCCGTCTGAAACTTCAGACAGACCAGATACATCCACATCTTCTTCGTCTTCACGAGGAACGTAGTCCAAATCGTTTTCGTCGTCATACCCGTGACCAGCGAACAGTGAGAATGGCTGCTGTCCGGTTTCGCCCGCAGTCATATCGTCAATCTCACGCCTTTCAACATCGGAGAACGAACTCGCGCTAGGTCCCCTTCGACTGACGTTCTTGCCTCGACCAGCTTTCCGATGACTCCCAAAGCCTTGGTATTTACTCATCCATGTGGCAGGAGACAAAGGGTACAGTGCTTTATGGTGCTTGACCGCCTTCTGATGCGCCCTGAATTGTTCTGCCTCATTGAGTTCAGGGTCAAGACTCCCAAGTCCAGGAGTTGTGCCTGCTTTGGTAAGGCCATAACGGTACATTCTTAGTGTGCGGAGCTCACGTGGACTCAGGTTTTGACGGAACTCTTCGGGAGTTTGAGGACTTCTCCTGGAGAATTTTGGAATAGGTGGTGAACGTTGGGGTGTCCATGGTGGAGGACGTTGCGCGGCGCTTGTTCTCCGGTTGGAATGCCGAATCGGTCCTGACGCAGCAGTCCGGCTTGATCGATCTTGCCGGAGACGCTTTGGGCTGCGTTCACGATTCTCTGGATCTATTCCTCCTGGTGGAGCGTGATCAGCAGTTGGTATCTTACGTTTCGGAGCCATGTCGTATCCTCGGTGCCAATGACTGGTGTTGGATGGAAGCTCAGAGCTTGAGGCGAGGTCAGATAGCTGAAGCTTGCGTCTGGATTGTTTCCATCAAAGAACAAGATGTTCTTTGACTTTGATCGCCGGATCCGGCAGCCCCCCTCGTGAATGAGTCGGGATGCAAGGCTGCTGTTCATTGTTCCCTATTGCAACGAACAGCAGATTCGAACCAAGTCCTGATCGTGTCCCAAGATGATTGAGTCTCGTGATCACGATTGCGAGTCCGAGGAAACAAAAGTTGAACTTCACTCACATTCCTGCCAAGACTTCGGTCTGGCCATCATGCAAACTCAAAAATTTCATTGGATATCGCTATCATACGCTTGTATCGCTAATTCTACGTTGTCTATCAGCATGATTCTCGTGACAAGTCTCATTGTAACCACAACCGGGATTGACGTGCAACTCACAGCTCATCTCGTTCTCCAACACTAGGCACAACCCTTTGCATGTCAAAATAGCCCTCGAGATCCATCCACTCCGCCGCAAAGGCCGTCGTCAACATAGCCCAGTCTTCCACGGTGGGCATATCCAAGTGCTCTCCGTCATCATTAATTGTATGCCAGACTTGCGGGAACGGACTTGTAATGATGTGCAGAATATCCACACCCCTAGCCATGAACGGGAGATGATCGTCTTCCACCATGCCTCCGCTCCAATAATCCGTACTCGATTTGCCACCTTCGTGCAGGAACGCACTTCCTTTGCTTTTGAACACTCCTGCTTTACGCAACCGCTGCTCCGCATCGGCCATTTTCTGGTACGCCCAGTGCGTAGTTTTGAAGTAAGATGGAACTTTGGGGTTCTTGCTCCCTAGCAGATCCAGCAACACGAACAGATCAATGGATCTCAGCGGGTTGCGGAAGTTGCTCAGTGCTCCATACTGCGTAGCTTCCCATTCTTCTGCCAGACTTCGGGCACCGTATAACGAATCTTCATGTGTCCACTGCAGAAAAGCCTCCTCTCCATCCAGGAGCAAGATCTGTATACCTCGGTAGCCTTCCAAAGCTCCGGCATCCATGTAGGTCCCTTCTGCTTCCTCTTTCGCCCACTTCTTCGTCAAAGCGTCGTCGATCGACCTCGCAGCATGCAGCAACATGGCACAAGGGGCGGCAGAATCCGTAGCACCAATGAAGCCTTTCGGCGAGAGTTTGCTATCGTAGTGGGCGACCAAGGCAAGTCTCGAGACATCTCCTTCCCCATCTGCCCAGGGTGGGTCGCGGGTTGCGATTATGTTGACGAAAGGGACTTCTTTACCCCTTGAGGTAGGAGTAGTTGCACTGCTGTTTTGATACGATAGCTTCCATTTGGGAAGTTGTGTATTGAAGAATTCCACAAAGTGGTTCTGCACCTTTGTCGACCCCGGTGTGCCTGGCACGCGGGGGATCAGGATCGGGGCGAGGAGCGAGCCAGTTTTGATGTCGAAGTCGGCGCCAGGGAGAGGCAGCGACTTCAAAGTCGCGTCGGAAAGGGCGGTCCATGCCAGTGTCTCGCGCAGGAGCGCAGGGAGGAGGTAGAGGAGCTTCATATTGGGCGGGACTCGGTCTTAGGTATTGTTCGATGTGCAGCTGGAGATATTCGGCGGGATCAAGCCATTGCGAGCGGAGTGCTCGTCCTTGCAGAGTGATCAGGCGGCGCCCAACAGCATCCAGGTCACTCCCTGCAACGGCCTCGAGGCATATCACTCGAGCATTGTCAGTCGGAGGTGCCAATGTTGGCGACGTTACCTCGCACCCCATGCCAAGGGTGCTGATCGCGGCGGAATTCCGCTCCGCCGCGCTGCACTTCTCGGAGGTGACCAGCTACAACTTTCATCCATCAGCATGTGATGTCCTCGATTCACAGCCTGCTCAGGCAGGCCAGCTGCATCAGATGCACCGCTCGACTCGTATCACGAAATGCCACGCCGGCAACATCGCGCCTCCGCGCTCAATGGCACGTCCGAACATTCCAACAGCCATCACGCCTTGCTAGCACAGCAGCTCCTCAAGCACGCCAGAAAAGTCCAGTCCTGACCAATGTCTACCGCGCTGGCACAGCCGCTACTCTCTCAGTCGGTATCACTCGCGTGGCAACCATTGTGGTCTTCCTTGCAGGCTCCACCGTCTACGCTCCATCCTACGTCTTCAGTCCAGACCACTCCAATTGGCTTGCCCTGGCTTTTCTGGTCGCTTCAGCAGTCCCCGCCATCGTGACAGCACTTGCGACTGGCCCCATGGTGCATGCGATCAGAGTTCATGTGCCAGACAATATCAAGCGATCCGGGAAAGAGGCGTTGCGAAGATTCAGCGCGAAGACTCCTCCGGACACAAAAGTGGAGTTATCATTCATGCGGTTCATGCCGTGGCCACAGAAAAGAATAGTTTCGTTCGCTACGCTCAGGAGGTTGAGGCCGAGCTTGAGAAGTGGCATCAGTAATTTGGAATATCTACCACGGGACGACAGACGGGACGCAGCCAAACGAAAAGAGTATCCATTATTTGACGCGTTGCTGAGAAGATGGATGGCGAGATACTACGTGAACAGAAATCAAAAAAAAGATCGCGCAGCTGTGCCGGGCGTTTGGGACGGAATGTGGAAGCAGATACCGTTCTCTGGAGAAGGCGATGATTATGTGCCGTTGGAGAGCGCCCCGAGACCATCTCCCAAGTTGAGACCTCCAGTGCCACCAATGGCCCCGATTGGCAGACCCTGAGAGTGCTCAGTAGGAGCCAAGCATCGTCTTACGAAGCTTGCGAGACCTCGGACGAACTGTGGCACGAATGAGCTGCAAACAAGTTGAAGCATCTGCTCGACAGAGCGCACGGCCATACTGACATATCCTCTATGCCAGCAGAGTAATGCACGGACTCAGTCGCCATCGAATACAAGTGCAAATGCAACCAAGTACGCAGTCGCCCTCAGCTCACCCTCAACGAAATTATGCGAATGCTCCACCAGGTGTTCCGCCAATATTAACAATCCACTGCCGAATCATAATTTTTCTCCACCACCGCCGGCGATGCTGCTGCCGAAGATTCCGCTGTCGACGACTCCGCTACCGACGCATACGTCTCGATCGCCATCGCCAACATAGCCCTCCTTCCACACTTCTCCGTCTCTACACACTCCCTTACCCTCTCCCGCAACTCGGGCTCCAGGATCTGAAACTCCTCGTCCTCCAACAACTTCCTTAACTCCTTCAAAAGGTTACCAATTCCCTTGACCAGCCCCCTCTTCGCCGCCTCCGTTGGTGCCAAGGGCAATACCACCTCCGGCATCCTCGCGAAATTTAAACTGTGGTAATCGAAATAACAGGAGCGGAACCTTCGTGTATTGCGCTCCGTGTGATCTCTCACATTGGCCACCACTACTTCGGACCAGATCTCTAATGCTTCGTCGAATTCGTCAACTGCCATTTTGATGCTCTTCGGATCCCCTGGATTTAGAGGCGGGAGCTGCTTAAGCCGTTGGATCTCGTTGGTGAAGAGCTCGTTGGCGGCGCCGTGGGCTCTTATGTCCTCCTGCGCTGCTATGGCGTTGTGTATTTGTTCCATCGCTGATGCTGGTGAAAGTTTGCTGCTTGTATGTTGATGAAGTGAGAGGTTGCTTTTGACGATTTAGAACTTTCATCGTGAATCTACTGTTTTGGCTGCGAAGAGGAATTGTTTGCTAGGAAGGAGCAGTAATCGCTCAAACTGCAAGAGTGAATGAGTTCGACGGGCAAGAAATGCATCTTCCCCTGTCTGTCACCCGCAAGATCTAGCAAGTGCCCGACAGGTTTCCATTGTACCTGCAAAGACCAAACATACGCGCAATGGAAAGCGCTCTGCGCCGTTCAGCATGCACATCGAAGCTCGAGACATGCTTCGAGCCATAGCAAGGTTGGACACAATTCAACACAATTCAACTTGAATGCTTTCCGACGCTGTCAATTGATCAGACTGGATCTTCGGATCGGTCGAATCTTCTCACGTGGGTCGATCGGAGCTCTGTCCTACATATCTGACAGCCCGAACGGCGAACAAAGAACGCAGCATTACACAGAATCGCATAGCCATAGATTCTGTGAGACCATTGTCGCATTTTCGCGATCACAGCCACGCGCAGAATAGAACCAGCAGGGGCAGTTTTCGATGCCTCATGCCAAGAAACCGCAGCGGCAACCTGATAGCGCAACACAGGCACGCCCACATTCGCGACCTTCTTCCGACACATCCAAGACCTGCACAAAACAAGGTCTACGTTCTAAACGCAGAAGAAGCCATTGACATGTCGCCCCGGTTTCGTGCCGCTCGATATAGTACTCATGCAGGAGCGGAACCACAATGCAAGTGGGCGGCGCTTATAGATCCTGCGTGGTTCGCCCAATCCTTCGCTTGCTTCGAGACATCCTCACCTTAGCTTGTGTCAAGTTTCCGCGCCGCAATGACGAACGCGCCCACGAAGGCTGGAGTATTCGAGCCTCGAACCGGTCAGGACTGGCCTTTTATGTTCAAGAGGCTCGTCCGTCCTGGGCAAGAGCCTGGTTCAGTTTCATCCACATTCGTTCTGGTTTGGACGTTCGCTCTATGTGAGGTTTACATATATCGTCAGAGCTTCTACTCTACTCTTGTTTGAGGAAAGAGTCAGACATCTGCTGGATCCTAAAACACAGGACACAACATGTCTAGCATAACTTCAAGTCTATCGGCGTCGTCCACAAGCGCGACTGCTTCTGCCACAAGCACCGATGCCACATACGACTTCAGCATCAAAGAAGCCACAATCCGAAACACAGCAATCGGAGTCTGTCTAGCCTTATTCGTCTTCCTCATCTGCGCCCTCGTCGGACTGGAAATCATGCGCCGGCGCATGAAGCGAATGCGAAAACAACTCCTCAAGTACATGCGACAAGAAGAAGGAGGCTACAGCACGCAATACTTGTCTCCCGACACCAGGGTCAAGATGGAACGAACGGGCAGCACGCCCGTCAGCTCCGATAGCGCGCGATATCAACTCGTCAGTCCGGTGGCCAGAGCTCCCGAGCGGAGCGTCACTGAGATTTCTGGACAAGGAGAGTTGTACGAGTCCGACGCGAGATCTGTGAATAGTTTCCATCGCGGGGACACCAGGAAACATAACAAGAATGTTTCGAGCAAGTGGTATGATTTGAGAGCGTATACGCATCGGGACTCCTGAGGAATCTGCTCGAATAGAAACCGGTTTTGAGCTTGATTTTGAGAAGAATTAATGACCCATGGCGAGGCTTGCGAAGTCGAACTGGAAGTGACTAGAAATTTTGGGAATCACATCTCCTCGCGATCTTGAGCCTCGCTGGAATGAGACTCTTTCTGGATTGCCTTGTTGGGCGCGAAGACAGAACTATTGACGTCCCTCTGAGGACAAGGCAATGTGTAAGTTACTGCAATCGAAATGGAGCGCGTGGAGCAGCCGGCGTTCATGGAATGGAAACACCAGCTGCGTCGTTCGACATACTCAAGTCCGAGACCTGTTGGTGGCATCGACCTCTACGCCTATCCCACGAGCCACTTCGAGAGTTCGCGAAACTTTACGCTATCATATCGAGGAATGGATAAAGTAGTCACGATTCAATGCTGTTGAAGGATTTCAGAACGCCACTTGCACGATGCATCGAAACAGCAACTCACCCTCAGGCTATCTCTCCGACGACAGCTGGATTCACATCAGGAAAAGAAATAAGAAGGATACGATGCAGAGTAATCGTAGAGCCTCAAAGAGCCACACGAAACACGAAATCAATTTTTGTCTATCATCAAGTCCATGGGTATCCGTCTCAAGTCATAGCTCATCTCATGTCATGCCAAAAACCAAATCATGATCACTCTACGCCCATTTGCCAAGCACACCCATCAAAACCATACCAGTGATAAGAGCGAATCCTGCACCCAGCGTCTTAATGAGACCGCTAGTCAGCAGCTCGCCACCCTCGATGACCCAGTCGCGAGCCCACATATCCACAACACCGACCCAAACCAAGACACCAGCTGACAACGCATCGAGCGTGCCGAAAGTAATAACAGTCGCTGGGTTGTTGCCGTTGAAAGTGTTGAGAACTCCAATACCGATTGCCATACCGATCGGAGTGATGAGGGCGAACGCCAGTCCCATGAGAAATTTGGTCGGGAAGATCGCGCCTGGAAGAAGAGCGATACGTGCTCCCAATGCCAAACCTTCGAAAAATTGATGGAAGACAATGACGACCAAAAGGGTACGGTAGAATGAATCACCAGCGACAACGAGCGTCAGACCGATCAAGACGGAATGGAAAATGATTCCTGCTTCCATGACGCCGACGGAAAGTGGATTATTTGACGCTCCTCCGTGATGGTGATCCATGGCGAGGAAAGCATCGCGATTCTCTCCGGTTGATGAGCCTTCGGGAGAGTGCTCGCCTTTACCGCGGACGTTAGCCGTGTGTGCTGGAAGTTCTCCACCTGATGGTTGACGTGAGGTGACGAAGCGGGTTCCAATGTATTCGATCAAGAAGCAGATGAAGATACCGGCCATGACGACCGCGGAAGTCGTTGCTTCGTAGCCGAGCTCGCCGATACATTCGTTGGAGAACATTAGGTCGGCGTGAGTGTACAACTAGATCCAAAGTCAGCGATTGTTATGATGAGGGGCACAGAGAAGCTTACGTGAATGAACGCCGTGGAGATAATGATTCCGGTACCGAATTGCTTGATGATCATCAAGATGTTGTAGCTGACGGCGGAGTTCCTGATGAATGGGATCTTGTTCAAGAACATAGGCGCGTAGACACCGATCGAACTTGTGACAAGAACGATGAATATCGATCCGACACGGAGTCCGATATCGTAGTCTCGTTCTCTGAGTCCACAAGACACGGCGCCCCCGCCAACGCAGTGCTCGACACCAGCGTGGAAATGGCATTGTTGGTTCTCTTCGCTCGCAGCACCCGCAGCAAGCAAAGCCACCTCTTCGCCAGCTGCGTCTAAGCAAAATGTAGTCTCTCCATGCGAGTGGCAGCCGGTGTAAGATTCGGGGATTTCGCCCGTTGGCTCCGGGTCGAGCTGGTACTCTTCGCCTTGGTACGTGCACCACACACCCTCGCCGTCGTGAGCGTGGCAGTTCGTCGCGGTGGTATCATCGCCCGTAGATGCGGCTTCAGCTTCATCTCCGTGCTCCTCGCAGTGCTGGGTGCCATCGCTGTGTGCGTGGCAATGTGCATTGCTCTCTCCCGTGGCCGCTGCTGATGGAGAGCCTGTAGTAGCGGCAGCAAGAACAAGCACGTCCTCGCCTTCTGGATCAACGCAGTATCTGTCTAAATTAGCGAGTGAAGGGCTCGGGTAGAGTTCAGGAGAAAACTCACTGCTGATCACCGTGAGAGTGGCAGTTCGTGTACTCAGCTGGCATCTCGCCAGTGGGCGTCACATCGATCTGAACTTCTGAGCCCGCGCCATTGACACAGAACAACTCTGTTGAATGTGTGTGGCAGTCCGTCACAGCGGTAGTCTGTGCCGCAGCTGTTGTGCTCGCGGGCGCCGTGATGGGAATAGTCGCGGTGCCGGAGACAGTGTAGGTGGCTCGTGCAGTCTGGGTACCACTGAGAAAGCAGTATTCGACCTCGACGCCATTCTCGGATCGGTTGTTACATCCAGTGTATGTCGTACGCTGTGCTTGTGCTGCGCCAATGGCGAGCGAGAGGAGAAGTGCTTTGGAATACATCGTCGTTCTTCGTCTTCACAACCACCACCTCTCAATCCAAGGTCTGATCGCAACAATCAGTCGATATGAGAGAAGTATCACAAACCACTGAGTCTGATGTCTCGCTCGAAATGGTTGGTCTCGTTCACACAGAAGTACTCAGCCGATCAAAGGCCCAGAGAAGAAATTCCTGGACTTGCCACGCGACAACGCAGGGACCACAACTCGTTGAACCTTGACAATTGCACCGAAGGCTCTGTGTGGCCATCTGCTCCGCCGCCGACGACGTTCAGTCCAAGCATGACCTTAATGGATACCAAGACATGAAATAGTGGGATGCAGTGCTTGGCTGCATCGTGAGGATGCGAGCATAAACGGATAACCTTACGGATTTGGAAAGATGCGATGGTGGCCAAGGTTGCGGATCCCACGTTGGAAAAATCATGTGGAGGACCATTCTCGTGTGGTGCCGACTAGCAAAACGTAATGGCGTGAGAGGCGATGGGGGTGGAGAGATGCCCATTAAGGTTGTCCTGGGCGGAGAGTCTTGGCTTCTTGGCTATATCACTTTGCACCGAACTCCAGTCTCTCACAGGAAGCTGTTGGAGGCGAAGTCCGCGTATTTGTCGCGATCGGTATTCGCAGAAAAATCCATCGGGAGAGGCGATCCAACGCGTCCACGAGTAGACCGTGCAATTCATGCGATAGACAGCACTTCTACTGACTTCGACCAACGCCATTGAACGAAAGGTGCCTTGCTGAAGAGATCAGCTATCCGTTGCCCGGTTTCCCTGCGCCCATAAGCTTGGGACTAGTCCAGAACTAGGGAATAGGAATGCACCTAGCGGAGGCCGAGCATCTCAGCAAGCTTGACACTTCTGCCATTCGGCAAGTCCGACCGTTTGCAAGGTCTTGTGCGGGTCGTGTGTGCATTCAACGCTGAAGATCCGAGATATGACGCTGCTTGACAATCCAATTGATCTTTGCTTTTCGCTTGTACAGCGAAGAAGGAAGCAAATCCGACTGCGAACCATCATGGTGATATCGTTTGCAGCAGATCTCACTGTGATGGCGGTTCTGTTCACGATCGTCAGACCGCATTCAGTAATCTCAGACGAGTGAAGCCCAGCAGTGGCTATGGACGCTACTGTTCTAGCCCTGCGAAGGATCCTGCCATGGACGTCAGTGGTGGAGGGCCGGAGGCTAAGCGCATATGTGCCTCAACGCTGATCGGATGTTGCTCTCGCGGCAAAATTCTTGCACCCCAACAAATGCACGGCCGGAGCAGGTACCAATGCACGCCTACCGTGATGGACAATGCCAAGTACGCACGCCGCACTCTTGCTGCATCCGGCAGGAACGTGGTCTTGGACGTGGCAATGACGCCCACGTGGAAAAGCAGCCTATCCCCGAATGTTCGATATAAGACCGGGTAGCAGGCCCTTGACCGAGAAGAGGACTTCACTTCGCAGGCCAAGAATTCCTTGTCAATCAATCCTCGACCACCGCACAAGATGTTGACTTTCGCTACCGCACTCGTTGCTGCCCTTGCAGTGTCAGCTGCCCCAACTGGAGAACAGAACCTCAAGCGCCAGGCACCATTCAGCAGCACTCAGCAGCCATGGAATGCCGGTGCCGTCAACGAATTCCGCATCCACAACAGCTGCAATGCGTCGCAGACAGCTCAGCTCCGCCAAGGTCTGAGTGAAGCCATTGTCCTTGCGCAGCACGCCAAGGACCACATCAACCGCTGGGGCAACGAGAGCACCATCTACCGAAAGTACTTCGGCAGTGCTCCTACCGCAGAAGCCATCGGCGCTCTTGACATCGTCGTGAATGGCAACAAGGCCAACTCGGTCTTCCGCTGCGATGATCCAGATGGGAACTGTGCCAACATGCCAAGTAAGTCCAGCTCCAGCTTCCCAACGACCTTCACTAACATCTTTGTCCAGCTTGGGGTGGCCACTGGCGCGGCAACAATGCTACCCACGAGACTGTGATCTGCCCAACTTCGTTCTTCGAGCGTCGTCCATTGTCGACCGTTTGTGCTTGGGGCTACAACGTCCGCGAGTCTTCCCGTCTGCTCTTCTGGGCTTCTGACTTGCTCCACCGCATGTACCACTTGCCAGAGATTGGACAAGGTTACATTGACCACTACGCCGAAGGCTACGAGGGCATCATCGAAGCCGCTGCCAGCAACAGCCCAAACACCACCCGTGACTCCGATGGACTCCAGTACTTCGCTCTGGAAGCTTACGCATACGACATCATCGCTCCCGGAGAGGGCTGCCCAGGTCCAAGCGGTCCACCAAACACGAGCTCTTCTTCTGCCGCTGCTCCAGCCGCGACAAGCTCTGCCGCCTCGATGACCTCGTCAGCCGCTACTACTGCCACTTCAACGGCTGCTGCGGCTGCCAGCACTGGATCCGCTGACTCAGCGGATTCCGACACTGATGTCCCAGCTGTAAGTGCAAATACCTAGCCATAGCCCACGAATGTGAATCGCCGCTGACCTTGCTGCAGAACTGCCACACCCACGCTGATGGCTCGCTGCACTGCGTTTGATTGATTTGAGCCTGCAGACCTCTCCGGGTAATGACGGAATGATCACGACTAAAGGATTAATGTACATAGATGCACGCTCATAGAAACTCACGAACCAAGTTCACGATTCTACCTTGCTTGCCTTTCGATCAGGCATGGTGCATGCTCTCAGACGATCGTAGGAGTGAACGGGATGCATTCAGCTTGCCATTGTGTGATCACTGAACCACTATGCCCTTGCCTTTGGACACTTGTATGAGTGATCGTGTTGCAAGTAGCAGAGCTTGTCCTTGTGTTCAGTGACGCTCGCCAGGTGTTTGCGAGCATTGATTCGTGAGGAGCCACCCCAAACCAAGTCTCAATGCTTACTCATGGACAGCCGGATGAGTGATCAGAATGCACGAAGCTTGCTCCTGGCCTTTATTGAAGGTTGTGGAGCATCTTTCGTCGAGAGTCGAGACTCTTCTTGAATCGCTGCCTCAAGCGAACGCTGTTGCCTTGTGTGAATAACATGAAATGTCGCAATGATGTCGAAGTGTAGAAGCCGCGCCACTGTGGCACGCGTACCCTCCAGTTTTTCGAGAAGGTGAGGCTCCAGAATTCGCATGATCCTACGCCGGGTTTATCCTGAATCCCACGCCGCGGCTGTCGTTCCGTCACACGAGCCGTCCGACTGTCCAATCAAAGATCCAGCGTTGCGAGCCCTGCAGGGAGGCCATGTCGTTTAGCACCTCCGCAACAACAGATAAAGTCGAGGTCTCGCCCTCCAATACGAAATACGCGTGTGCGATGCTTCCTTCCTGACCAGCAACGAATAAGTATGGACTGCAAATTTTGGTAATGAACGTCTTCAGCACACTCAACGTTTGACCGGACACAGCACAGTCTTCATCGGCATTGTATTGGCCCGTCGATCGCATTCAATTATTGGCACCGAGGGAGCAACCTTGGCCAAGGTCATCGAACGCTTGAGCCTCAACCCGGCGCGTTGCACGTTTCTATTACTCCGGCCAACATTCTATCGCATCCATTGAACTGCAGGGATGGCCGCTCCGGCTTCGAACGCGCCGAATGCAGGCAACACGGCGTCCGGACGACGAAGACGAGGGACATCAGTGTCGAGCGTAGCGCAAAGCGTCGTGTCCGCGACGGAACGAGTTCTCGATAGCGATCTCCCACCAGGCTTTCTCGCGGCGACCGCAGAAGCTACGAGCAAGGCGCCAACGATTGGAGAGATCAGAAGTGGAGCGCTCGCACAACCCGATACAGTGACACGAAGCAGAAGTGTGAGCAACAGCAGAAGACATGCGAGGCTGTCGCGGGGATCAAGAGACTCTACAAGACCGACTCAAGAGCATGAGCAACATGCGTCGTCGCCAGGGCTAGAGCCTTTTCCGCCTTTGGCTGAAGAGCCGACGAAAGTCAGTTCAATTGAGAAGCCGGGCCTCTTGGAACGAGAAGAGACGCGAGAAGAGACGCCCTCTATCTCGATCAAGAAGCAGGAATCTATCGCGCCTCTGAGCCACGCAGACAGAGCTCGGTCATCGGGATACATCCCGCCTCAGAAATTACCGTGGACGACTTCTACAGCGAACGCTCTCGTGGCATTCTGGAAATGGTTCATCACCCCATTCGGCTTCCTTGTGACGCTCTATGGGCTCAATGTTGTAGCGTGGGGAGGAATGCTCTTTCTCTTGCTTTGCAATGCTAGTCCAGCAATGTGCTACGCTCCAGATCCGAAAAATCCTGGACAAAAGTATTTCAACTGCAACGACATCGATAGTCCACGCCGAAAATGGATCGAATGGGACAGCCAGATTCTCAACGCGCTCTTCTGCGTCACAGGTTTCGGACTGGCACCTTGGAGATTTCGAGATCTGTGGTATCTTATGAAATATAGATTTACGAGCGAGAAGAAACATGGCTTGGAAAAGAAAATGTATGGTCTGCGAAAGCTGGGTGCGTATTACAGAGGGTGGTTCCGGCTCCCGGGACAGACAACGCTGGATCAAATGACAAGCCAGGAATACATCCGATCACTCGCGGCATCTTCCCCGGACAGCTTGGAGGCAGCAATGTCCACGAATCCGGCATTCGACCCACGACTCCCTATCCCGGCAGTGAAAGCGCCTGCACCACCCTTGACCGGCGTGCGAGCGCCAGATACAAAACTGTGGAAAGTTGACTTCTTCATCTGGATGCAAGTTTGGAACACATTCTTTCAATGCTGCCTGTGTGGTTTCATGTGGGGAATGAACCGATATGACCGTCCATCCTGGAGTACGGGCCTTTTTGTTGCCTTGGCGTGTGGTGTTGCGGGAATCGGCGGGCTTGTGAGCTTTCTTGAAGGAAAAGCAGTGAAACGAGTGGAAGGCCAGGCTCCTACCGGTGTAGCAGGGCAGACCGACGAAGAGGTGGACCTGACTGTTCAGAGAATAGTGACTGGGAGCGAGGCCGTTGAGCCGAAGATGGCTAAATAATTTGATCTTCAGGCTGTAATGAGAAGCGATGACATTGGGCTACGATATATATCTGTGTACAGAACTCACCTTGGGTTGAGGAAGACGACAGAAATGTCAATATATTGATTCTGGTCCGAATCTGTCCTCAAAGTCTAATACATGCGCACGCGACCTGAAGAAATATGCATGCTGTTCCCCTGCTAGGGGAGCTGTGAAGTTGTGCCAACCAAGGTAGCACTCATATGCACCGCTGCTCATCATCAACAGCATGGCTGGGGAGAATCCGTTAAGGCAGGAGATGGTGCAGCACAACGGACGGGTGGCAGGACGAGCGACAGCCATTTCATCTTGACTCGAGTCACATGGATGGAAATAAATAAGAAATGGCGGAGACTAGGAGGAGAGTCGGGTGTGATCGGCTAAGTTGCGCCGGGCGAGCTTGCTGCTAAAAGTCAAAAGTTCTCGAGCCGCTTTCGTCGATGATACACTGACTTGTCTACTTTCCATCATCTCTGTACAGTACCGTTTGGGCGCAACTTCATTGAGTGTACAAGTCGTTCTCTTCTTGTCACTGCTTTTTTCGGTTCTTTCCTCATCCTCCATCCCCTTCGAGCACGACGACCGAGAAACACTTTGGGATCCCGGCTGGCACAGGAAGGATGGCTGCTGATGATGCTTCGATAAATGGTATGTGCGAGCCATTGAGAGTCATGCACTATTGCACGCACACGCCTGGCCAATGCTCTCGATATGAGCTAGGACACTTCCATTGACATCGCCAGAATCGAAGCAAGATTCGACGAAACCCAGCGACGACCAACCTCACGCGATCTCCGAAGCGAATGGCACCTTAACCAATGGAGACGACCATGAGGCATCAAAGGCTGATGGCGAAGCACCGCCAGCGGAGAATGTGTTCCAGCTCACTGTCAAGCTGCCTCATGCTCCAGGGGAAACACAAATAATGGTGTCGAGCCAAGAGCAAGTGCAGGACATCCGGCAATCCATCATCGACACACCCCACACGTTCCAATACTCGTGCTTCCATCTGGAGCACCAGGGCAAGCGCATCAATGACTTCGTTGAGCTGCACGAGGTGGAGGGCATAGTTGCTGATCCAGTCTGCAAGCTTGTGGAGGACCCATACACCGAATCGCAGGCGCGGATGCACGTTGTGAGAGTGAGGGAACTCATTGGCGCTGCCGGTGATCGAACAGATTTGGTGACGGGCATTGATGCAGGCCTCAGTCTCTGCGACAGCGTTGAATTGACGGAGAAGACAGACAACGAGCCTGACAACCCGATCACTGGCTACGATCTGAACGCACCAGGCTCTGTATCGACACTGCTTCCAAAGGCTCGCGATGCTGCACCAAAAACTGTCAAGAGCATCTCATTGTCAGCCTGGAATCCTCCTCCATACCACCTCCGCAACAAAGGCCACCTCCTCTACCTTCAGGTTGTCACGAATGAAGGCGAGCAGTTCTACGTCACCTCACATGTCTCTGGCTTTTACGTGAACAAGTCGACAAACAACAAATTTGATCCAGCTCCGAGAAGCTCCCCGAAAAGTGCATCGGCACATTCCCTCATCAACTTGCTCAGCCAGATTTCACCATCGTTCGAGAGCAACTTCAAGCAGCTGCAGGAGTACAATGGCAAGCGCGACCCGCTGGCATCGTATGCTCTCAGCAATTGCATCCCCGCCGCGCCCTGGCTCGCGTCCACTGCTTCTCTGCAGCATCATCAGGCCGACGTCATGCGTACGCAAGAGGCATATTTGCTGGGAGGTGTGGAGAACGCTGAGACACTCCGTGACTGGAACGAGGAGCTCCAATCGACCCGTGAGCTGCCTAAAGAGACGGTGCAGGATCGCGTGTTCCGAGAAAGATTGACGAGCAAGCTATTCGCCGAGTACAACGAAGCAGCTGTGCGCGGTGCTTGCCTTGTGGCTCGTGGGGAGGTTCAGCCATTGAACCCAACGGAGGCCAAGGACGCACAAATCTTCGTCTACAACAATGTCTTCTACAGCTTTGGTGCTGATGGAGTGGGCACCTTTGCCAGCGATGGAGGTGATGAGGCCGCAAGAGTCGCAACGGGCAAGGATGTGCAGGGCGTGAAGGCTGTGAATCAGCTGGACATCAATGGCCTGTTCACACCCGGCACCGTTGTCGTGGATTACCTGGGCAAGCGTGTTGTTGGTCAATCCATCGTTCCTGGCATCTTCAAGCAGAGAGAACCTGGCGAGCACCAAATCGACTATGGTGGAGTTGAGGGCAAGGATATTATCGCATCAAATGAGGGCTTCGTCCAACCCTTCAGCGAGCTCAGCAAGGCAATGCGCGTGAAGAAGCATGCTGTCTGGGACAAGGAACTGAAAAAGCACGATCTCGAGGCCAGTGTTGAGACAAAGGGATTGCTGGGAACTGACGGCAGGAAATATGTCCTCGATCTGTACAGAGTCACACCTCTGGACATCTCTTGGCTCGAGCAACACCGCGGCGATGACCAGACTGAGGAGAAGCGATACCCGCACCGTATGACAGTGCTGCGTCCCGAGCTCGTCGATTCGTACAGGTTCAAGCAGATGAGAGAGTACGTAGGAAAAGAGCTCGAGAAGAAGCAGGCTGAAAAGGGACAATCCACCGCAGGCGCTTCAGAGGAGAAGCCCAAGGAGTTGACAAGCGACGAGGCAGAGGACAAGAAGGAAGACGGAGAAACAGCGGAGGAGACAAAGCCAAAGCAGCAGGACACCGTCGACATCTCCAACTTCCAATTTGCGCTCAACCCTGATGTCTTCAGCGGACAGCAGCCGCAGACCGAAGAAGAGAAGGAGGAGTGGGCACAGGATGAGGCTCTTGTACGTGCAGTGTGCGAGTACTTGACCTCCGATGTTCTTCCTAAACTCGTGCACGATCTGCAAGAGGGAGACGTTGGGTTCCCAATGGATGGACGTGCCTTGGTTCGGGAGATGCACAGGCGCGGTGTCAACATTCGCTACCTGGGTGAGATCGCCCGTCTCACATCCGAGAAGTCCGACAAGCGACTCGTAGCTTTGCAACAGCTAGCACACCAGGAGATGGTCAGCCGAGCGTTCAAGCACATCGCGAACAAGTACCTTCGCACATTACCTCCATGCTTCGCTCAGAGCTGTGTCTCCCACCTGCTTAACTGCTTGGTGGGCACGCAAGCCAACGCTAAGCCCTACGCTGAAGTTGACACCGAGCTCAAGTCGCTCTACCCAGAAGCCTCATTCGACTTTGAGAAGGAAACCCCTGAAGGCTTGGACGCAGAGATCAGACGCCAAGTGTCCCTACGATATCGTTACGATATTCAGAGCGATCTCGTGCAAGACGGCAAGCGGTTGCAGCTCGTGCGAGAGGTGTCCAAGAAGCTTGGATTCCAGCTCGAGGCCAAGGATTACGCCTTCACGAAGGAGGCGGCCGCTGCTCAACCACAATTGCACGAGAAGCAATCTGCAGACTCGCTTGCTGAGCCACAGACTAACGGTACGTCGAACAGCAAGAAGAGCAAGAAGAAGAAGCAGCAGGCAGAGAGCTCTCCATCCCGCGCGCAAGCAGCCACGCCGACGGGTCCACCACAGACTTTCCACCCTGACAACGTGCTCAACATCGTACCTCTTGTCAAGGAGGCTTCTCCAAAGAGTGTCCTTGCTGAGGAGGCACTTGAAGCCGGACGCTTGAGCTTGCAGCAGGACCAAAAGGAGCTCGGCCAGGAGCTGCTCCTTGAGAGTCTGAGCTTGCACGAGCAGATCTATGGCATCTTGCATCCCGAAGTGGCTCGCGTCTACTATGCTTTGTCCACTCTGTACTATGGATTGGAGGAGAAGCAGGCTGCGGTCGAGCTCGCGAAGAAGGCCGTCATCGTTTTTGAGCGAACTCTCGGCATCGATGATGCTGACACCATTCTGGCGTACTTGAATCTGAGTCTGTTCGAGCATGCGACGGGCAACACCAGAGGTGCGCTCGCCTACGTGCGTCACGCACTGAACTTGTGGAAGATTGTCTACGGCATCCGCCACCCTGATTCGATAACCACGATCAACAACGCGGCCGTCATGCTTCAATCTTTGAAGTCATTCCACGAGTCGCGACTGTGGTTTGAGGCGTCTCTGGACATCTGCGAAGAGGTCTCTGGCAAGCAGTCCATCAACACTGCCACGCTCCTCTTCCAGCTCGCCCAAGCGCTTGCCCTCGACCAAGACTCGAAGGCTGCTGTGAGCAAAATGCGTGAGAGCTACAACATCTTCAAGGCAGCTCTCGGACCTGAGAATCAAAACACCAAAGAAGCGGAGAACTGGCTCGAGACCCTCACTCACAACGCGGTCAGCCAAGCGAAGCAGGCCAATCTCCTTCAGAACCGTAAGATACTTCTGAGGACAGGCCGGCAATCCAAGGTACAGCTCGGCGGCACCAGACAGACGCCTCCTGCGGGTCAGTCGGCGCCCGATGCGCTGCAGGCAGCGGCCACACCGAGCCAGGGTGGTGTTGATCAGCGTAACCTCGATGAGCTTATTAAGTATATCAACGGCGAGAGCGCGAAGCAGACGACACCCAAGAAGAAGACCACGGCCAACCCAAAGCGTAGGCAACAGAGGGCATAAATTATCTCTTGGATACATGTATTGATTGCTCTCTCCTGGCGAACTTGGCATTGGTACCATCTAGCGACACTTGAGTAGAAGAAACCAGTCGGCGGAGGCTGGCGGGCAAATTGTCCCAATGGATATTGCGGAATAATGTTGCGGAGCCGAACGAACCAAGGAGCATCGCCCACGACTGATTGAAACATTGTACATTGTAGATGGCACTTGTGTGGAGGTGAAACAAAAGAAGAAGACGAATAAGTTTTGCAGAAGAGGTTTAATCACCACTCACATCGCTTTCAGAGCAGAGCGCGCATTATTGTACAAAGAAAGAAAGTAGAATTGTAGAGATTATGTATAGTAGGAAAAGCAAAAATTCTGCACTATTGAGACCTTGATTGAATGAATAGACAAACTGCGTGACGGGTATGTTTGGAAGAGTTGGTGTCCGAATGCTCGAGACGACTTCATCGTAGAGAGCTGAGGCGACCTCTGAAAAGCCTAGGCGACCGCATGGAAGGTTAAATCAGCTGTTTTTGAGGTCGCCTCAGCTTTCGTGCGGTCGTCTCAGCTTCGATACGGTCGCGTCAACTTTTGTGCGGTCGCCTCAGCTGTCATGCGGTCACATCAGCTCTCACACGGTCGCCTCAGCTTTTTGGACGTCGCCTCATCGTTGATTTGGTTACGCCAACATCGTGATGGCTGCCAACTTTGTTCTCTCCTGTCCTTGTCGCTTTGCCGTTGGTATTCGGCATATCACTATCAGCTGATCGATATCGATGCCAACCTGGCAAGGAGCCAGTCAAGGGGACGGTTGGATGGGAATGAGAAAAGAGTATGAAAGAAACAACGGCCAGGAGAGCGATATGGATTGAAGACCCCACCTATCCAGTCGAATTTTTGCTAAAACATGACCATCATGGCCGTAGCCAGGACGTTTCGAAGCAAAAGACCCCGAACTTGCCAAAAATCCATCTTGCGCCATTTGACGCCATGCTGAAATCTGCACAGCCGAGCTGGAAACAAATGACCATGTCCCCATCAAGCCACTTCTTCTTCGTACATTTGACACTCTTGTCGGTCATTCGTTCAAGCTGTTGCGCTCACGCTGTCAGCATTGCCGGCGCATTGCCAAATAAAAATCCGAGGCTTCTCCTCCGAACAGACGTACAGTGCGCCGCCTCGCGTGGTATATTATGAGACATACCTTGGGTCGCCTTGAAACACCCTATATGCAAAAAGCAGGCGTCAGCTCAGTATACTGGATCGTCCTCCTCCAAAGCCTCCAATTTCGGCTTTAATCTACAAATTGTCTAAGCAGGGGTTCAGTCGAGCAGTGGCAGAAAATTCGCCCGCACCGGGGAAAGAGATGGGGACAACTTACAAGTGACCTTCATAGTAGTCGAGTAATCGTTGTGGGCATTTCTGGCGCAAGACGGGCATTTTGTGCTGGGTTTTGCGATCATTGTTCCACTCGAGCAGCCCTTCGAGGGTTTGGACCCCCCTGCTCTTGTTGATTGTGCCATCTTCGTCCACTTCATCGCCTTCGATGATCGCTGTGACACGCGTTACGTGATCTTCCCAGAGTCCAAGCGGGGGTGTCCATTCGGCGCCGTTGGTCTCTGACTTCCGCGAACGGCCTTTCTTGCTGGAAGTTGGTGCGGGTGATTCTTCCATGGCGGAAGACGCTCGCTTGCCTAGACTTTTCTTCGCGCTCTTCTTGTCTTTGTTCTTGTTAGGAGGTTCAGGGGTGCCGCCAACCTTCCGGTGGTATGCTTCTAGCAGATCTTTCGCTCCCTCCTCGCTGGTGAGATCGTTAGCGCATAGTATTTTGGCACGATGTTGAACATGCATACAGATTCTCAATCGGCTCCCATGTGCGATCTGCTTCGTCATCGTAACCGACCCATTTTATCTCGTATACAGTCTTGCCCCTAACAAATTTGTGACTCAAAATCTTCTCCACCGCGTATTCATCTTCCGCCTCATCGTCGTCCTCGGACTCCTCGGGCTGGGTTTTGACTGCTTTGGCGGGTATAGCGTCGGGAATGTCGACGTCGCTCCCGTCGGAGTGTAGCGGTGCTGATTGTCGTCAGTCCAAAGCGCGCCAGTAAAGATGCTGCGCTTCTCATACCAGGCATCTTCAGTGCAGTTGCGCTGGAGCGCGTGCCAGCTTGCGGGGTCCGAGGTCGCGATTCGCGTTGTGACTTGTCAATGCGTGTCTTGATGATGCGCGATCGCGTAGATGCTTTGCGCGGTGCCGCTCGTGTTGTTGTTGAAGGCAGTGGAGGGCGTCGTGGGCGCAGGTTAGTGACCGAAAGTGAGAGCTTCGAGGGCGTTCATCTCCGCTCAAGACGCGACTTCCGTTTGAAGCTCTCGGCTGCTCCCGCAGCTTTGACGCGACTGCCCACGAAAAGTTCGAGAAGCAGCAGCGGGCAGGAACGTTTTAGTCAACACCACGCCGTCCTCACTTGAACGCCTTTCCCGACTCGAATTTCTGACGAGTGTGCACGGCTGAATATTTGCAACTGCTAGAGAAGCTGTGGGGAACCCGCCGTTGACGAAATTCTGCCTTGAAGGCACTGGAGGAGAGGAAACATGGCAGGACAACCGATGAGTGAGTTGCACAAATCAGGATGAGTTGGAAAGTGAAGCAGGAGCTAATACAGAATAGACCTCGATCTGAGCAATGGTACGACGCGCGACAAAGTGAGAGGGTATAGATACTGACACTGAGCAGCTCAGATCACACAGGATGAGTCGGGACGTCCCTTCATCATCGTGAGAGATCAGGGAAAGAAGAAGAGAACACATGGCAACGAGGCAGTGAAGAACCACATTCTCGCCGCTCGCACTGTTTCATCGATCGTCAAAACATCCCTGGGTCCCCGAGGCCTCGATAAGATTCTCATCTCGCCTGATGGAGACATCACAGTAACGAACGATGGAGCGACGATTTTGTCGCAAATGGAGATCAAGGACCACATCGCAAAGCTGCTCGTATCGCTTTCGCAATCGCAAGATGCAGAGATCGGAGACGGAACAACAGGTGTTGTGGTTTTGGCAGGCGCACTGCTCGAGCAGGCAGCGGAACTCATCGACAAGGGAATTCACCCCATCCGGATAGCAGATGGATACGACCAGGCTTGTGAGGTGGCAGTCGCAGAACTGGACCGGATATCAGATGTGATGCCCTTCACTCGGACCGAAACGGACAACCTCTACAAATGCGCGAGGACATCGCTGGGCAGCAAGATTGTGTCCAAGGCACACGGTCAGTTTGCACAAATGGCAGTGGACGCTGTTCTTTCTGTCGCAGATCTGGAGCGAAAGGACGTCGACTTTGAGCTGATCAAGGTCGATGGCAAGGTCGGAGGCTCGCTAGAAGACTCGCTCCTGGTCAAAGGTGTGATCGTGGACAAGGACTTCTCCCACCCGCAGATGCCTTCAGAGGTGCGCGACGCCAAACTCGCCATTCTCACATGTGCGTTCGAGCCTCCCAAGCCAAAGACAAAGCACAAGCTGGACATCACGAGTGTGGCCGAATTCAAGGAATTGCAAAAGTACGAGCAGGCTAAGTTCACCGAGATGATCCAACAGATCAAGGACACTGGCGCCAACGTTGTTATCTGCCAGTGGGGGTTCGACGATGAGGCAAATCACCTGCTTCTCACAAACGAACTTCCTGCAGTGCGATGGGTTGGCGGACCTGAAATTGAGCTTATTGCAATCGCCACAAATGGTCGCATTGTGCCACGCTTCGAGGATTTGAGCGAGAAGAAGCTTGGTACTGCGGGCGTGGTACGGGAAATGTCGTTCGGCACAACGAGAGAGAAGATGTTGGTCATCGAGGAGTGCGCAAACTCTCGCGCCGTTACTGCTTTCATCCGAGGCAGCAATAAGATGATTATTGATGAGGCCAAGCGATCACTGCACGATGCACTATGCGTCGTACGCAACCTGGTTCGGGACAATCGAATCGTGTACGGTGGTGGAGCTGCTGAGATCGCTTGCTCTCTGGCGGTAGAGAAGGAGGCACTGAACACACCTGGACTGGAGCAGTACAGCATGCGGGCATTCGCTGACGCACTTGATGCGGTGCCAATGGCACTTGCAGAGAACAGCGGTCTGAGCCCAATTGAAGCCCTGTCTGAACTCAAAGCACGACAGAGCAAGGGTGAGGGCAGAGGTCGCCTTGGCGTTGACTGCATGCAGACTGGATCAAATGGTATGTCGACATTCCGGAACTCATCAAGAAAGTATGCTAATCTTTTTCACAGACATGAAGGAACACTTCGTCATTGATCCCTTGATCTCAAAGCGCCAACAGCTCCTGCTCGCCACACAACTTTGTCGCATGGTGCTCAAAGTCAACAACGTGATTGTCGCTGGCTCGGATGACAACGACTTTTAGATGAATGCTACGAAATGCAGCGCATAGCGACGGCGTGAAGGTCTAGATGGCCCATATAGAAGGAGTCCCTCTCATGGGAGGTATGTACATGGTGCAGCACGTGTATATTACTACCACTTCTGCCAGTCGGTCGACTTTGGCGTGTCCAGTCACATCCCGCAACGATCTCAGAGTATTAATGCAGGTACAAGATAGCGCGGCGTGCCAACGTCAAAGCCTGACCGACGGATCTTCGGCACAGAATTCTCTTTTTGCGTGGCGGCGCATGCAGAACGGAAAGCGATGAATGCTGTGAACGAATCATCAATTGGTCCGTCGAGTAACGATAAGCACCACGTGCACTTCTCTTCTGCTGTCTTCGACCTACAAGATTCCCACTATTCTCCTGTCGTATACTGCTCACTGCCTCCAGCTTTCCCCACGACGCTCACTTGGCGAACCTTTGGCAAACGCCGATATCGCTGCCTGCTGCCGATCATCCAGTCTGCCCACATCTAGCAAATCGAACACAGTCGAATGGATGGCACGCACCATAGACACGCCCGTACTGAAACCGCGGATACTGTAGACTCGACTGCGACTACGCTGCTTGCAAGTGCTTCCAGCAGCAAGCAACCCAGCTTTGAGGAAGGAAATCGATGTGCAAATGCCGGACTAGCATCTCATGAACAAACAAGCCATGTGCGTAGACGTAGGAACACGTTAGACGATGTCTATACAGAGGACGAGGACGGAACAGAATCCGATGAGCACGAAGCATTACTCTCCCGAACCAAGGCCACGCGTTCCAACGATCTGACCAATGTCGCAAACACTGCCCATGCCGTTGACGAGGATGGAGGCGATGCACCTCCACCACAAAGCAACGCCAAACCTGAGCCCGTAGCCTGGCGAGATCTTCCAAAGAAAGGACAACTCACAATCCTCACGCTTGCACGCCTCTCTGAACCACTAACGCAGACAAGCTTGCAAAGCTATATGTTCTATCAACTGAAGAGCTTCGTTGGACCTGATGGACAAGCCCCAAGCGATGCCGTCGTCGCTCGACAAGCAGGGCTTCTCGCTGCTGCTTTCACGGGAGCACAGTTCCTGACAGCCATGATGTGGGGACGACTGGCCGATAGCGAGTATATGGGGCGCAAGAGAGTGATACTTATCGGACTGCTGGGAACTGCCATCGGAAGTCTGGGCTTCGGCTTCAGCCAGTCTTTCGCCGAAGCCATGTTCTGGCGTGCAATCGGTGGAGTACTGAACGGGAACATTGGAGTCATGAGGACGATGATTTCGGAGATCGTGAAGGAGAAGAAATACCAGTCGAGGGCGTTTCTGCTCATGCCGATGACATTCAACATTGGAGTGATCATTGGCCCGCTGCTTGGTGGCATTCTGGCTGATCCTGCTGGGACTTATCCCCATATCTTCGGACCTGGAGGGACTTTTGGAGGAAAGAACGGAGTGTGGTTATTCATGCACTTTCCATATGCGCTGCCGAATTTGATCAACGCCGCCTTCTTGATCGTGAGCACGATTGCGTTAGTGCTTGGACTGGAAGAAACGCTGGAAGGTCTGCGAGGCAAAAGCGATTGGGGTCTTAAGCTTGGTCGACTGTTGATGAGGATTGTACGCAAGAAGAGAGCGATGCAGCAAGATTATGCGCCACTGGAAGCTCGTGAGGGAAGCGTGGATGTCGAAATGAGCACATCAGAATCTGCACAACACAACAAACCCGCCAGCATCAGAAGGAAGCTCCCATTCTGCAGGATCTGGACCAAGAATGTGCTCTTCACTCTCCTGGCACATGGCCTCCTGGCAATGCACGTCGGGACATTCAACAATCTCTGGTTCGTCTTTCTGTCCACGCCACGATATAGTCCCGACTCCCGACAGGAAAAGCTACCATTGCCAGAAGGCTATAAACAACACCTGCCGTTCACCTTCACTGGCGGCCTCGCTCTCCCTCCCCCAGCAATTGGAACTGCCCTCGCCATCCTCGGCGTTATCGGCATCTCCCTCCAACTACTCGTCTTCCCTCCTGTCAGCTTCTGGCTCGGCACAATTCGCTCTTATCGCTTGAGTCTCCTTCTTTTCCCTATATCCTACTTCCTCGCACCCTACCTCGCCATCGTTCCCAGCACGTCTTCTCCGCCCGCTCAAGCTTCCGGACTACTTATCTGGCTCTATATCACCTTGGTCCTCGCGATTCAAGTCATGGCCCGGACGTTCGCGCTACCAAGTACTGCAATATTGGTGAACAATGCGAGTCCACATCCGAGCGTGCTGGGGACGATCCATGGCATTGCGCAAAGTGTAAGTAGTGCTACGCGGACGATCGGACCGGTCTTGGCGGGACATATTTATGGCGTCGGGCTGGAGAGAGGGGTCGTGGGTGCGGCTTGGTGGGGTATGGCTGCGATTGCCGTCTTAGGGGCATTTGCGGGTAGGTGGGTAAGAGAGGGAGATGGACATGAGATATGGCTAGAAGGTGAAGAGAAAGAGGATGGGAATGGTAGGCGATGACGAATGATAGACCCAGATGTCAGGATGGACTTCTGGC